CGCATTCAAACGCAAATATGTATGTGTGTGCGTCGTAAATGCGATATAATATGATGTACGCGAAAACCATGTGTGTGTGTGTGTGTGTGTGTGTGTGTGTGTGTGTGTATAATATAATCTTATATGAAAAATTGTTAAAATCGCAGCGCAGAAAATATTCGCTGCATCGCGTGTTGATGACGTAAACTGAAATCGATTCGGAGACGGCGGGTACAACCCGGTGGTATTATACGCACAGCCGCACAGGTGTATTTAAGAGTGCACAATAGTAAATAATAACATTACAATATAATACATTATACTATGTATTATATAAAAAGGTCGTTACGTCCGTGGTCCATCGAGTAAAGGTCTTAGTAGTAGCACATTGCTGGTATACCTGCAGATTTTTCATCTCCCCGCAGCACAATATTATAAATTTGATACCACTATAGTCGTGTTGCGCGCGCGCGCGTGTGTGTGTGTGTGTGTGTGTGTGTGTGTGTTAAGTAATAAGAGTAAATCTGCAAAATTTTGACAACCAATCCCCAAACGTTAACGATAAAATAATATTATTCCCGTATCTTACTGCACGAAAAAAAATAAAAAATAAACACCAAAAACTACTTAACGGAAACACAATCCTCTCGCTCCCGAAACACGAAAAATATTTTTATATCAACTGAAAATGTTGGTCCCATTTTACCCGATCGTTAGGATGCACTGGATACCAATCTAATAAACCCACTTAAGATATCCCATAACAATAATATCAATTTTATTTTGACCAAGAAAAAAAACATCTGGGTAAAATTCCTGAAATACTCAAATATACCAACTGGAAACTATATGATTATTACGACTCTCGTTAATAGCTTGGACACCGTTTAATTGGCTAATGTTATACAGAAATTAAAAAAAAACAAAATATATCAAGATTTGGTTCATTAGAAATACATATAAATGTTACTTTTGACAAATACAACAGACACTACATGTGAACTAATTAAAAAAAGATAACTTTTCAGTTATATTGATTTGCTATACGTCATTAAATGAAAGTATTTCGTAATATTATAAGTGTGACTAACGAATCTCTTATTTAGTTATTTCCTGATAAATTACTAAAAGCATTGAGCTATTCTTTATAATTTACCAAACTAAATATACACAATATTTTGTCTACGTGTCAATCATGAAAGCCATAGAAAAAAATATGTCATATGGATACAAACAAAATATGTTAATAATTTATTAATAAATATGAATTAAAAAAAAAAAATGTTAGCTAATACAATAAAAATTTAAAATATTTAAAAATTCAGAATTCTTGATGATTTCGTGTATGTAAATCAAGAAATATTTAAACCTAACTAATGAAGAATAACCTTAAAGCTATTTTTATATAGACATAATAATTTAAAATTGAAATACCTATTGATTACTATTACAAATAGCATGTTTTGTAAAATTGTGTAACTTAAATAATTTTTAGTCCATATGATAAAAATGGTTCTCAAGGAGCGATATTTAAACTCAAGACAATATAATTTAAAATAGTTTTGTGTTTTCTACAACACATCGGGACAAAAAGTCTTTATGATTCTAAAAAATTGTATATTTGTAAATAAAAAGAAGTGTAGCTAAGCAACTATATTCATGACAAGTATTAAATACGCAGTTAAATAGTACAATGTAATATATATACCTAAGTACCGTTTTAAGTCATTAATTAATTTTAATAATTTATAATATATTGTAGGAATTTAGTATAATATGTGTGTATTTATAGTTACATTATTATATCTTGAAAATTCTAACTCTTATTAAACTAATAATGCCAAATAATTAAATGCCCAATGTCGTTAACACTTTTACCAATGATTTTTTTTTCATTCCGTTAATGGAAATTAAATCACTATAGGTATCAGTGGTGTACTAGTGGATATAAAATGAAATACGGTTACAGAACAGATGTTTAAAATCATCCTCGATGGCGCAAAAGTCGGTCAATATTATTCTAGTACAACGATGTAACTGCATGCTGCATCAGTGGCGACGACTCAGCGTCGGTTATTATTATTTTATTTTTCATTTATTTATTGCTAATCGCACACTCACCAAAGTTATTACTTGTGTAGTGTGTCGAATTCTGTGGACGTTAATGTTAAGTAAACAATTTTTTTTTAGCTTACTGTTTTTAGAGACAGTACATCCCATGGGTCATGACTCGTTCTTATATTATGGTATGTCTATGCGAATGAGCAAAAGAAAAAAACCATAGTATACATTATACGGTTCTCGGTAAATTATTACATATTTTTTTTTTTTTGTCAACAGCGACGAAAACGATTTTGCAGTCTCTCACATTATATTATACAACATATACTATACATTATGTACTAAACAGCTAATAATATGTAAAATGTTGTGTACGAGCAGCCTTGAAAAATCGATTCTTTTCAATAGAGGGGGGGGGGGCATTATAACAACATTAAATCGGTTAATGAATCCAAAAAGTGACATAATATGAATAGGAAGCTAATTGTAGTATAGCCAAAAGGCTCGAAATAATGTTATATTCGCATGCGTTTTATTATTATACCAAAGTGTATTAACTAATATATATAAAAACCAACAAACAGTAGAACACGTGGCTAATTAGCTATTCTGGAAGAGCAAAAGCGGATTTATGAAACTACCGTACTACGCGATGACAACAACGCGTTGTTTTTCTTTTTTTTTATTCATATCATTTATGATACATAACATGTTATATCCATCTTAAGTGTATATAAAAACACGTAGAAGTATGAGTGTGTGTGTAATGTGTATGTACTATGTGTATAGTGTATAGTAGCTGATTATGACTGTACACTATATAGACCTGTCACCAACTCTCATCAAGTCTTACATTATCAATGATTTTGTATATTTACGTTTTTGAGTTGATATACTTTAAACAAACGAAGATTCATCGTAAAACAATAGGAACAACATTTAAATAACTGTATTGTAAGTTCGTGATATTATTATCACGTGATGTTATATTTTTTGGTAAATATTGAAAAACAAATCGTTTTAATAATAGAAATTAAATATGATGTGAATGGAAAAAAATATTAGTATTATAAAATAAATTCTACATAAACCCTATAATGCATTTGTAAACAATATATTATAAATTATTATGAATCGTATATTAATGTCAGTATGTTATAAATTTTTCAAAGTTACAGCGGGGTGTACGGGGCAGCTATAATGGGCGGTGGTGGAGGCGGTAACATACTCGTACATAACTGCGTGCAGCAACCAGCTCGCGATAAGGAGAGACGCGGACCATAAATCTCCATCAGATCGAGTTACACCACGATTTACTGCCAAAACAGGTATTCGTGTTGAATAACTATTTTTCCGTCGTCGGACCACGCGAAGCATCCGTAGAGAAACGACCTCTGAGAGGCGCGACGACGGTCGTTAAATTTTGGGATTTGGGAGTCTCCAACGCGTTTCTTATATTACAACAACTATAAAATGAAACCCATTTATAACCAGTGGAATTTTCTTGTGTTTCTAACTACAGGCTTTCGAAAATATATTATACGGCGTGTAGGACGTACGCAGCAATGCAGGTACACAATGCTTGCGCGGACAAGGTGACGGCGCGGGCCACGCACTGCAAGCCCGTCGGTCCGCAGAAGTATAATGGTATTATATAGATACATATAACAATATTATTATATTACTATTATTAACGTTTTGAATTCGCAACGTTATACAACGCATATACGGTTTAAAGTATGTTATACCTTAAGGTATCTCCGTGTATTATATCGGCCGTCAATATCGCTATCCGTTGAATTCCAAACCCTGTACACTGTGATGGAGAAAACATACAATAATATAAATTAATTTATACTCCCAAGAATAGTTTCAAACCCGTAAGCTCATTCCCCATGTATATTATATTATAATAATAATATTATGATAATATTTTAGAAAATATATCTGTTAATAACACCACATGCGTGCATACGCACAAATTTTTATATTCTCGTACACGCGCGCTACATTATAATATACACTTATACTATACACACACGCGCACGCGGCGCCAATGGATATTGTAAATGTGTGCGTATAATATAAAGTGAGAGTTGACACCTTGTTATTGAGATTCCAACGTGTGTTTGATATTATATATGTGTATGGAAACGAGTTTATCTCTCCTATGGATTTTGACATTTTGTTCGCAAATAGGCCTACTAGTTCGGATAGACGTTTAAAAAAATGCTTTAACATTAATAATATATAAACACTATAAGCATTACCTACGGTAAAAGTATCATATTATTATGTTATTATGCTACTTCTGACAACAATATAATATACCCGACGACACAACATTTTTTTCCTGAGTTCGTAGAATTAGGAAAACGTACGTGTATATTATTATTCTATCGGCATCGACCCTATCCAGTTTCCTATACCACAGGTACCGAAAAAAAATACCATTCTAATGTCAACGGCGTCGTATATGTTTGTTATATAAGTATCTACGTCTAAACGTCTTGTCGTTTTCGTTACCGGCCTACACACACAAGCATTAATACATGTTTCATACACATAACAATATGCACGCTCGAATTTCTGGTACAAAAGATGATTTTTGAAATTTACTAAAGTCTTGTAGAAGAGGTGAGAGACGTAATACGCGTCTATTTTCCCGAGAACGTACTTAAACAATATCATAACAACGATATCTTATACAGCTAACGTAGTAATCCCATCAATTAAATTCGTCCTGCGTGTTTATGCGCGTGTTCGCCGAAAACAACAACGCGTGTCTATCATATTTTAGCATCCTCGTTAGTCGTAATAAACGCAAGACGTGATAAAAAGTACGTGTTTATAATATATACCGTATATTATACACATTACATGCATTTTTAGGCTTTGTAATCAAGGGGAGAAAAAAGGGGTTTAATCGGACCAGCCTCAAACCCTATACTAATTCTTACCTTCATGTGGGTCCTTCAGTGACGGGGATGATTTCGACGTCGACCGCGGTCGTCGTCGTCGTCGTCCTGCATCATCTCAGCAATCGGCTATCACGTCATACAAGACGACGACTTGGATACGGGTAGGTAGGCGTACGCACCACTGTGCTTGTCGACAAACGGTTTTCTCGCGCAGTTGTCGGGGCGTAAAACGAAATCAAATAACAAAAATAAAAATCGAAACGCGCGGCACTGCAGTCTCGTACGCGCACGCGTGCGTGCGTATGTATGTATGTTTACTAATGAATCTGTCAGGCGTAAAAAAAACTCGGAAAAACGTCGTCACTGATGGGCGATGGGAGGCGGCGCGGGTGCAACAGGGATCGAGAGGAAATGGGCGCGAAACAGCAAAATATGGCGACGGCGGAGCGGAACGATGCGGATGGCTGGCACGACACACGAGGATTGTGCTTCTGCGACCACGGCGAGCGGTCGTCTGGTGCGCGCACCGAACTGCACGGACGGGCTCGGCGTTGTCCGACGATGAGGTGATGGTGGCGGTGTGTTCAACGTGGTGGCGGCGGTGGTTGTAGAGTAGGAGGACGACGACGACGACGACGACTACGACTACTACGACCGGTACCAAACAAAACTGAAACCGAACGACTACAATAATAATACGCGACGATGGCTATGCGTATAATATTATACCCATTCGACTGACCGATGGCCCCGTCAGTGGCGGTTATGTCGCTGCAACATCAGAGGTTCTCAGAATGGATTTGATTGTCCGACGCTGTGCTCGGGATACCGTCTCCTGCGGTATGCCTGGGCTTGTACATCACCTATGTCGTATGGTCTTGTACAATATTATCATTGATTCCTTATCGTGTATTCTATAACTATGAAATATAGTGAATTTTTTTTTTACTGGTATAATGTTTACATAGCAATCAATACCTATATTATAGTTTTGATTTAGGTACAAGATGATTTGCCAAGCGAGCACATTCGTTTAATAAAATTCTGTTTTTTATGGTTTTTTATGGTTTTTTTTTTTATATTTTAAGTATACTTACCGAAGCCCTACAGAAGACTATACTTTCAAACACTTGAATTTATACCGTTTATAAGGATTGTCCTGGATCGGTAAAACTTTTCTTTTTTTGTTCAAACAAGAACTGTATAAGTTGTTAAGCGGAATGCAGATTATTATTTTTAATTTTTGATATTTACGTAAATCGAAATGCAAACAAGTAATTTCTGTTCCGAATAATTATTATATTTGATATAATAATCTAACCTCTAACCTACTACAGAGTTGGGACTAGGGGTAATAGTCCACAATAATGGGTTTGAAGACAATGTGGAAAGTATAATGAATCCAGAACTTTTGTGATTATAAATTAATGTTAATACACATATAATATTGCTAATATTATGTAGCTTTATGTTTGTGATAATTGTTAGGATCTTAAGTACATAATATATTTTATATTTTCAAATGACAAATTGTTATCAAGGATTAATACTCTTAGTACATAAAGTTTAATAATTAAAAAACTAGTTGTAAGAATTATTCTGATTTAGACTTTGAATCTATCAATATTCTCGAAAAATGTGCTTAACAAATTTAAAGGAAATAATTAAAGTTTTCTTTTGAAAAATGTAGAAAAAAGTTAGTTCACGGGTACTTCTTACATAAAAACTATTAACGTTGTATTTTTTAATTCAAATTGTATATTGTTTTTAAATATTTGTTAAAAACTTAAAAGTATATCAAGTCCGAATACTTGACTCGTTTGGATAAAAGTTTTCACACTACTAAGCGGAACCTGAGTGCAATAATTGGTGTATTGACAGTTAAAAATTCAAATATATTAATGTATATTATAAATATAACTTATATATTACGACGGACGTTTGACGTGCTAGTGCAAACGGTTATCTAGTATCTACCGATATTTTTATTTTTGAAACAACTGGTCCATGCCCAGTCATTTGCGGGCCAGAGATAATGTAATATTATAATATATCTATTGATCACCATGCGAATACGTTTTTTACTTGTGTGAGTTACGATTATTGAAGGTATTTGTGTCGCGTATAATCGCGTACGTGAATTTTATAACGCATTGAATAACTATAAACACGAATTACGACGATATAATAGTGTAAGTCAAGGATAAGCGAATAATTTATACGCGTTCGCATAGAGTATTTGTGTATATAACATACACATATTATATTGTATATTATTACTCAGAATATTTTGAATGTGTATATTATATATGAGAGGTATTCTATAGGTAATAATATTACCATTTTACGCGCTGTTTATACTATTATAAATATATAATAACAGTATACGTCTAAATGTATATCGTTTGTATAAAATATTTTATAAGATTTTTTTTATTTATTTTTATGTAACCGACTTTGTTTATAAACGACTTGTGAGTCATAATACAAAATAATATAGATAAATATAAATAATAACTAGAAAGCTACATGAAACAAATCATCGATATGTAATAAGCTTTAAATTATATAGGTATAATAAAATCTGTCCTAAGCGGAATTGCAAGGGACCGATAAAAATTTCCGTTTTAAGCAGGAGTTACAATATTCTGCATGATTAAGATTTAAGGTTATAACATTTTCCGGCCAATAATATAAACTAAAATGTTGAAAATTAATAAGTATCATATAGGCTACAATAAATTTTAATATTTAGTAAATAATTACATAATATTATATATTAATTAGATATTTAAAAATAATGATAAATTTCAATCACAAAATTTGAAGAATATAATATTCAGCAGGTATTGATTAAATAATAATATAATAAAATAAAGTAAACAGATTAAAATACAATTAAAAATTCTGAAATTCGTGTAAAGTTTCGTCCAGTTTTTTCTTTAACATTAACAACTTTCTTCTATAAATTTCATTTTTTTAAACAAATCTTTGAAGACATAGTGAGAACAAGTAAAACCTGACGAAAGACAGGGAAACTACGACTATACGGTGTGACAATAATGAGCATTGATGAATGATGATATAGATTCAGGATAAAATGTAGTTATCTATCGACACGTATTAATATTGCTAACCTTAATAATTGTTTAATAACAAAATAAATTTATGTATTATAAATATTTTTGTTCATTTTATGATATATTTTTCCGTTTGTTAATGTGTATATGATTTACTGGTCCAAAAAAAGCTTTCCATTTTATGTTAGACAGGTTCTGTTTTATCAAAGGTTTAATCCTATGTTAAATTATAGAAATCTTCCGGGACCATTATAAATTTCCACACAGAACAGGATTCCATCCTAACAAGGGTCCGTATAAGACAGGTTTTACTATAAATTTAACCACCTCGGTTTTGCTTATAGGGTCTTATTCGCTTGTCATGTAATTGATGGTTGAACGAATACGAGTTTTCAAAAATATCCATCACATATACAATTATAAGTATCTATCGGTTGTGGTTGATAATTTTAAAATTAAATTTTAAGCTATTCCAGAAAAAAATTATGATATAAATATTTTTAAATACCCATTTAATACAATATATTATATAATTTCCTTAAACCTATTATGTAAAGACAAATTAATAACGATCATCGGAAAATGTTAATGAAATTTCAGCACTTGTAGTAGACCTTTGCTTGATGGTATATCATGGAGTTCTCAAATGCCAAATAATATGCACAACTGTCCTTTCGTAACAGTGTGACACTTGAGTCATGAGGCTAATCGAGTACTCAACACTAGGTCTTTGTATCCTGCCTAGATCATTTGCCAGTAAGTAATAATTGTATAAACGCATAAAACGGGCGTTAATATTTTATGGAGTGTAAATGCAAAATTTGTGTAAAAATCTGATGAAATATTGTATACCTACCTCAACAGTCAACGTTAATGGGACAATCGTTGCCCGTTAGTGATAATATAGTCTTCAATCTTTTTACTCTTTGCGTGTATAGGTAACAAACTCACTTGCTATATGTACGTATAGTCTTATAAACACATAAAACCTACATTGTGCACGCACCGCGCAGCGATTATGCATTATGCAAAGACTTCAGTGAACACAAAACAAACATCAAACGACATTTTTAACGCACGCGTTGATGTCGAGGTCGCCTATATAATACGGAGGAATTAACTAAACCATTTTGCATTCAAAGAGGAAGATAGTAATTTATTTTAAACACGTATTTTTATTCATTGAAGAAATAAAAAAAAAACAATTTTAAATTAATCCATAACTGCAGTTAAGATAAATAAAGACATTCAAAGACAACGTCATCATTGATTGAATACACACAAAAAATTCACTTCTATAAAGTATACTTACAATATAAAAGTTCTATCATCTTAATACACGGGAAATAGTATTGAATTATTTAACCGTAGTTTGTAGCTTTAATCTTTACAATATATTATAATACGATTGTGATTTGTAAGTGTTTTTAAGTTCCATGATTATTTAATCATATTTATGCAGATTTGAACTTTTGATTCGTAAATTTTCTCAATGTCCTGCAATTATACCACAAAAATTAATTTATGAATAAATTTTTTTAAATAAATAAATATCTTTTGATTATTATTTAGGTATCCTCCTATATATTTATGGGATAATACTATTTATGCATAATTCATTAACATATTTTTTTTTTTTGATTCCGCGTAATAACAATTTACAGTCACCTTATTTCGAATATTAAATTGACAACATAATACAATAATTACATTTAAAATATAAACTATAAATTTTTATACATTTATTTTAATTTTCTAATTATTTTTCATATTTGTTACTGTTTAGATCATAAGATAAAATCTGAATACCACTGATCTAGTTATGACTTGTAAAATTGTAGCAATAAATACAAATAAATATACCACATTTATTTCTGAGTATTATCGTACGTATTATCAGATTGAATTTGTAATAGAAATTAATAATTTGAGAAAATATATAGATAATAAATATGTTTTTTAATCTATACAATCGTGTCTATGCTTTTAAATCAAAACTTTCTATATTTAATTGCCTTGCGTTGAAGTTCCTGAATTTAATAAAATCAGCATTTTTATACAAAAGTAAGTTTAGAAAAAATGTTAATTTATTTTGCTGAGTGTTTTTATTAAAATAATGATCAGTATAAAAATTAAAACCTATATTAAATTATTAAATTCAAATATTTTCTTTAAAATAATTAAATAAATTATTTGAAAGTATTGTACTATAATGAAATATATGTCAAAATATAAATTTATAAAATTTATAAAAAAAAAAAATGTGACAATAAACTGAATTTCCAAGTTTTTTGACTTAAAATTTGTATTATAAAATTACCAGTTATATCCAGTTTGATACCAGAATCCAACCTCAAAATTTGAAGATTGAAGTATTTTTATCCTTATTTTAATAAGTACTATCTATTAAATATTTTCAGTAAATTTACCTTTTTCTCTTGTTAATATATTTTTTTTTTAAATTACACATTAATATAAATCATAAATTACTAGCTTTTTTTATATTTTAATATTTTATACATACTACTCGTATATATTACTCGTTTTAAAATTAAAATATCAAATAAATACGAAAA